AGCCGCCGCGCGTGGCCCCCCCCCGAGACTCCTGCCGGCACTTCGCCGGCGTGCTCCGTGACAGCCAGCGTCGCAGCCGCGGCGCCGCCGCCCCGTGTAGTCGGGCGCCCTGCAGGCCCCCAGGCAGCGTGTGGGGCATTGTCGCCCATGGTTGTTTCCAAGCCATTCTGCGCAAGCGTCCCTTTCTACTCTTGCGTGAAAGCACCGCTGTTCGCCATGTAAACCCTCGCCCTCGATCTGTGAACAGCATGTCGGGCATCGACGCCGAAGTTTGGAGACGGACATTCAACGCTGCCCTCGCCTTCTCAACGAGACGCGACGTCCCCTTTGCCGCCCCGCCCGCTGGATCGCATGACCGCGCAGGTGCAGGCGCGCTTGGAGACGCGCGTGCTCGGGCCCGCGCGCTTCGCGCCAACGTTGCCTAGCTGTCTGTTATAGACGGCTAGGTAACTGGATGCGATTTCAATGACCGGCAGAGGAGACCAAGATGAAGAGCGTCGTCGGCAATTTCCGAGCAAGCCGCGCAGCCTCGGCCCCAGGAAAACAAGCGGAGGGCCCCCAAGGACATTGCAAACGGTGAAGGGCCAGGGTTCTGAGCAATGGCGCGGGCATCCGGGCCTCGGGGATTCAGGTGGTGATCCGCTGGGGATCCAATGGGGGTCCAGGCTGATGTTGCGGGATCCGACCTTCTGGGCTGCTGAAGAATTATTCTGTTTGGAGGGGATCAAATCCGACCATTCTACTTTTATCTGATATTTATCAAGGCAAAGGAATACTCCCGGGGTCCGCGCGACGGAGAAGGCAGCGGGGGTGGGGGCGACCAGGGGGTGGGGTCTTCTAGAGACTTACCGAGCGCTGGGGGGTGGCCTTCTGGAGATTCGCCGAGCGCCTGGGGTGTGGCTTCCAGAAATGTACTCAGCTCTGGGGTGAATGGGGGGGCTCGCAGACGTGCGCTCAGCTCTGGGGCGGGGGGTGGCGTCTAGAACTTTATTCTGCTCTACGGTGGGGGGGCTTCTGAAACACTTATTCAGCCCTGGTGTGGGAGGGCTTCTCGAAGTCTATTCAGCTCTGGGGTGGGGGGGCTTTTACAGTTTTATTCGGCGCTCTTGCGCCCCGCCGCCGCCCGCCGCCGCCGCCCGCCGCCGCCCGCTGCAGCCGCTCGCCGCCGTCGCCGCCGCCGACGGCCCGGCTGCGCCGCCGCCCTGCCTTTCGACAAACGTCGCGGCAGCTACTTCTGCGAGCTGTCGCCGCCCCCGTCGCGCAGCAGCTTCATGCGCTTGAGGCCCTCCACGTCGCGCTCTTTGTTCGCCTCCTCGCAGCGGCGCGTCAGCCGCCGCGCGTGGCCCCCCCCCCCCCCCGAGACTCCTGCCGGCACTTCGCCGGCGTGCTCCGTGACAGCCAGCGTCGCAGCCGCGGCGCCGCCGCCCCGTGTAGTCGGGCGCCCTGCAGGCCCCCAGGCAGCGTGTGGGGCATTGTCGCCCATGGTTGTTTCCAAGCCATTCTGCGTAAGCGTTCCTTTCTATTCTCGCGTGAAAGCACCGCTGTTCGCCATGTGAAACCCTCGCCCCCGATCTGTGAACGGCGCGCCAGGCATCGACGCCGAGGTTTGGAGACGAACGTTCAGCGCTGCCCTCGCCCTCTCGTGGAGACGCGACGCCCCCTTTGCCGCCCCCCCGCTGGGTCGCGTGACCGCGCAGGCGCAGACGCGCGCGGGGGCGTGCGTGCTCAGGCTCGCCCAACTCGTGCCGACATTACCTAGGTGTTTTTCCCTACCTAGGCTCTGCCTAGAAGGGTTCTTAATCTCTGGGCTTAGAGGGCCAGGCAGTGGAAAGTGGCCCTGGCGGTTCCCCCAGTATCCGCCCCGCGGTTCCCCCAGTTACGTCACCTTAGCTTAGCGTTGCTTATTTCATTTTAGCTTAGCTTATTTCATCTTAGCTTAGCCGAACTTCGTCTTAGCTCAGGTTTATTTTAGCTTAGCTGACCTTAATCTTAGCTTCGCTGAGCTTTAGCATAGCAGGGCACAGCACAGCATAACATAGCGTAGCATATCATATCGCAGCACAGCATATCATAGCATAGCCCATCATATCATAGCATAGCGCAGCATCGCATATCATAACATATCATAGCGCAGCACAGCGCAGCACAGCATATCACAGCGCAGCATATTATATCATATCATAGCAGATCATAGAAGAACATCGCATAGCATAGCGCAGCATAACATGGCATTATCATCGCATAACATAACATATCATAGCGTAGCATATCATAGCATATTACATAATGCTGCTTTCCTAGGGGCTCCAACTTCTAGGTCGGGTCGCACCGGGGTAATTTTACATATGGCTGGGTAACTTGATGCGGTCTGAACGATCGGCAGAGGAGGCCAGAAGGGGGAGAGCGCCGTCGGCAGTTTCCGAGCAAACCGCGCAGCCTCGGCCCCTGGAGAGCAAGCAGAGGGCCCCCCCCGGGGCATTGCAAACCGTGAAGGGCCAGGGTTCTGAGCAATGGCACGGGCGTCCGGGCTTAGTGATCCAGGTGGGGGTCCGTTGGGCATCCAGTGGGGGTCCAGGCTGGTTTCATGGGACCCGACCTCCTGGACTGCTGAACAACTATTCTGTTTGGAGGGTATCCAATCCGACCGTTCCGCTCTCATATAATATCACTTAAGGCTGAGGGCGAATCCCGGGGCCCGCGCGACGGAGAAGGCAGCGGGGGGGGGGGGGCGACCAGGGGGTGGGGTCTTCTGTGGGGTCTTCTGGAGATTTGCCGAGCGCTGGGGGGGGGGCTGGGTTCTAGAGATTTACCGAGCGCTTGGGGGGGGGGGTGCGTGTGTGACTGTGAGAAATATCCTCAGCTCCTGGGTGGGGTGGGGGCGCATGTAGACATGTGCTCAGCTCTGGGTTGGGGTGGCTTTCAGGACTTCCCCCCGCTCTACGGCGGGGGGCTCTAGAGATTCTTGCAGCGCTCTTGCGCTCCGCCGCGGCCCGCCGCCGCCGCCGCCGCCTTCCGCCGTTTTCCGCCGCTCGCCGCTGCCGTCCGCCGCCGCCGCCGCCCGCCGCTGTGCTATCCTCAGACCTGCGTTCTGCGGGTTTTTTTTTCTCGTGCGGTCAGTCCATTTCGCGGCCGGGCTGCGACGTCACCCTGTCGGCAGACGTCGCGGCGGCTATTTCTTCAGGCGGTCGCCGCCCCTGTCGCGCGGAAGTTCCGCGCGCTTCGGCAGCCCCTTGCAGAGGCCCTCCACGTCGCGCTGTTTGTTCGCGTCGTCGCAGCGGCGCTTCAGTCGCAGCGCGCTGCCAACGCTTCGCCAGCGTGCTCCGTGACAACCCGTGTCGCAGCCGTGATGCCGCCGTCTCGCGCAGTAGGGCGTCCTGCAGGCCCCCGGGCTGCAGTGCAACATTGTCGCCCATGATGGTTGTCGAGCCATTCAGCGCAGGCGCCTTTTCCTACTTTCGTGCGATAGCACCGCTGTTCGTCATGTGAAGCCCTCGCCCCCGATCTGTGAACAGCGTGACGGGCATCGACGCCGAGGTCTGGAGACGAACGTTGAGCGCTGCCCTCGCCTCTTCGACGAGACGCGACGCCCCTTCTGCCGCCCCGCCCGCTGGATCGCATGACCGCGCAGGCGCACACGTGCGTGGGGGCGTGCATATTCGGCCTCGCTCACCTCGCGCCAACATTACCAAACTGTCTTTACGGTCCCGCTCGCGGGCAGCAGCCGCTCGGAGTTTGGCCGCGCCGCGCGTTGCCCGGAGATGGGTTAGGAAGGCGACGCTGTTCTCCCACTGGTGGCATGGCCCCTGAGCACGAAACGTGGGGTCAACGATGCAGTATAGCAGCCGACTGAGTCCAATGACGCCTGGAGTCTGTGAAAGTGCACCGCGCCACGCCCATTGTGCAACCCTGTTTCCCCCCCCCCCGAAATGCTCCGCGTGCGCAACTTCATATACCGCTGAAATTCCGCCCCGCACTTTTTGGAAGTTGGTCGTGGCCACCGAACATGTGTGCAAGTGGACTGGTACTTTGAGCTGGCACGCGTCCCTTGCCAACCATGTTGTATGTTGTTTGCCGCGAACAGGATGACGGAAAGGAGGTAGAGGAGTCTGTTGCTGTGGAGGTATTGGATGAGGGGGTCCGCAATGACGGAACATATGATGCGACGATTCCGAATGGAATAGTCCTCGACCGAGCCTGCTCCCCCCGACGGCCACCTTGCTGGGCTCGGGCACATAACTGTATGTTTAAGATTTCAAAACGATTTCCCCGACCAACGATTCAATTCCAGACCGACATCCAGGAACCACATGTGTGCGCAAGGCCCCCCCTGCTTGAGCGCCCGGTTCTAACCCCAGGCCGGTCTGATCTGTCACGCTTGCGGCGGAACATGATAATATGATGGTACTGATGATGATGCTGATGGTGATGATGATGATGATGATGAAAAATGATGATTGTGATGCTGATGCGGATGATTGTGATGTATATATGATGATGCAGACGATAAGGATGATGGTGATTGTGATCAGGATGGTGATGGTGATGGTTTTGACGATGATGGTGGTGGTGGTGGTGGTGATGGTGATGTTGTTGATGATGATGACGATGATGATGATGCGGATACCGATGCTGACGATGCTGCTCCTGATGATGATGATGGTGGTGATGATGATGATGATGATGGTGATGATGATAGTGGTGGTGGTGGTAGTGGAGAGGATGTTGATTTTGGGGGGAGGGAGGAGGGGGAGGAGGAGGAGAGGAGGAGAGGAACGCGGCGCGCTGTCTCTTCAAAACGAGGACCCAACACCACAGGACGGTTGCGAAATATGGGAAGAGGAATCTAACACATCAGCGCAATGGGAGGGCATGTGTGGGAGGTGTCGGATGTCAGACATGGTTCCAGCGCGCCTGACGTGTCCTCCCTTCCCTCTCCCTGCTGCCCTTCCTCCCTGAGCGTGGTTTGTGGCCTCGTCTTCTCGGCCGGCCCGCCCCTGCAG